GCTTACCAAGAACTACAACCCCCGGTTTACCAATTACTGACATACGGCTTCTGAAACACCTAGTTCGCCCGCACTGTCACAGCCTTACCACAACTCGAGGTCAAGGTCACAAGGGCAACCGCTGAAATTGTAGAAGCCTCAATCACCCGCAAGAACCCCTCAACAAACCGCGACTTCCGCATCCAAGCTCCGAAATTCCCGAAGCCTCAAACTGAGGGCTATTTCATCCTCCTGTGTGACGTCCAAAAAGACGAAATCTACGCCCTGAAGCGGGTAGGTTTCTCCACAAAGGGCGGGGCTGGAGGAGGGGGAGGGGCGGATAACCGTCGGCCGACGCAGAGATTCACGCTTAATTTACCCCCGCCGGGTTTGGAAGGTGTGGATGTGAGCCTTATTGCGATTTCGGATGGGTATATTGGTTTGGAGAGCAGATTGGGGGTTAGGCTGCAGACGACCCAGGCCGTACCGGGGACGTGGGTGGAGAAGGATCACCCCCTTTTACAAGGTCCGGTCGAGTAATATAGAAGACTTATGAGCATGGGAAATAAACCTTGCACCAAGTATTTAGTTACTCCACATGGAACAAGTATTCCATTTAGCTATATGAATGTACCGCTACAGACGCTGGCACTCCGAGAAAAAAAATATTTAGACACTCCTGCCGCTCTAGAACCAGTCGGTAGGGGAATGTAAGAAAGTAAGTGAAGAAGGATACAACCAAAGAATACAACCAGAGAATACACCAATTCCCGTAGAAAAAGAAAAACAGCCCGCTGTCCGGCGGAGTAGCCAAAGTGTTTAAAGTACAATATTTAAAGCGACACATAAAATAGAAATGAATAAGAAGAAGGTGGTGGTGGTGGGTAGGAGTGGACGTAATTTCGTAGGAAAAAAGTAAAAAAGTAAAAACAAAGTATCAAAAAGGTCAAAACTCCCCGCATCACGCCATAATAAGTTCGTCATTACTGGGCTAGCCCGAGCTGTGTTTCTGTTCGTCCTCCTCTTTTTGCTGCTCATTTTGCTCTTTTTTCTCCTCTTGCGGCGACTGCTGCACTGGGGGCATTGGAAACTTTGCGTTTGCCGTGGCCCTCCGAATCGTGGCACGGCTGACAAGACGTTGTGATTTAGGAACGATCGGGATGAGAAGTTGACGCTGTGAGACAGAGATCTGCCGCGCGATGCTGATCTGGGCCGCAGTTTGAATCTGATCTGTTGATCATTGTTAGTTTAGGTCAGGCAAAGGGTGAGTGAGAACTTGTGAAGGTGTGTGAATTAAACGAACCTTCAGTCATCGGACCGCTTGAAGGCCCAGTCACCATCTCCCACTGCGGTTCGGCTTCGTCTTCCTTTGTCATCCATTCATCGTCTCCTTCGTCAAAACTTCCCCTTGGTGTATCTGATTCAACTGTGCTCTCCTCCGAGATCTTTGAGATCTTGCTCAGCGATCTAGAGTGGGATAGTAATCCGGGCGCCCCAGGCTTAGGAGCGACTGGCTCCGCGAGAGATTGATCGCGGACTACATATAGATCAGGAGGCGAGCTTTCGGCTGTTGTTTTTGAGCGGGAGAGGCTGCTTGGGCTAGGTGTGCGAGAGGTAGCGTTCGTAGGGGGAACAGGGGTGACATCAAGCATAGATGCCGGGGAACGGCAAACCTGGCCAGTTGTTGCATTTCTTTTGAGGGGAGTTAGATATAATTGTGAAGGCTCCTTCTAATAGCAAATTACGTTAGTTATGAATAAATATTTCAATTATTTTTATGTAGTTAAAACGTATTCTTACCTCAGTACTAGCCCCCGCCTGCTGCTGCTTGCTCCCGGTATCTCTCGATTTCCTACGGGCGAAAATGGTGGACTTCTCACTTGGGTGCAACAACGTCCCAAACATCACACTGTAGCGCTCCATTTCAACCTCCGGGATATCGACAGTCAAGCAGGGAGCTGGAGAAGCACCTTTCTTTACCGGCTTCTGTTTAGGTGCCAGATGAGGTGATAACTTGTCTCTGGTAACCAATTCCAATTTCTTCATTGGTTCCAGATCTTGCCTAGGGGCTGCCTTCCTGCTGCTGCCAAAAAAGCTTTTGCCAAACATCTTCCTCCAGCCTGTCTTGGGGGCGTCCTCCTGAAGATATTCCCTCCCTCTATCCTTCTCTCTCTCCCGCTCCTTGTGAAGGGTTTTCCTAGCACCACTTGCTACCGGTCCTTTGACTTGTACCTCAAAAGGCTTATTCGTGAGCTTCGTGGCTGATGATGATCCCGCATCGTTCGAGTACATGTTCTGTGGTGGGAATATAGACATTTCCGACCTTGAGCTTTTCTGCTGCTCCCGCTGCTCTCTCTGCTCCCTCTGCTCCCGAAGCTTGATCTCTGTCGGACTTCCAATGGCGACCCCTATAACATAGCCCTCTTCACCCTCAACCGCCATATCTGACCTGTCTGACGTCTTTGAAAAACTATGAGGAGGGTATTCCGTCAACGGCGGTGTCGGCGAAGCTCTATAAAGTACTGATTGACGATTGCGAGGATCCGCTGTCTTTGGGTGACCATCTGCAACGTGCGCAATCCGTACTGTTGTATTGAAGCTAGAAACACTCTTGCGCCGGGCAAGCTTCAAGAGCCCGGTGCTAGTTTGTTCGTTCGACCGCGCCATATCCACCTTTTCCTTTTCTGCTGTTGCTGCAGCTGCCGCTGCTGCTGCAGCAGCCAAAGGCGCTTTTATCTCCTGCGCAAAATTAAAATCTAGTTGATCGCGAGTGAGCTTCGCTTTGGCATCGCGAGTCGACTTTGAACGGCGCAATAGTCCCGGCATGGTTGATTAATGAGCGGAAGGCGCACGGATGGGTGATGCACAAGTATATATGCGGCAATGCACTCAAGATGTTTGGACGAAACAAAGAAGGGAGGTGTGGGAAGGGTGTTAAGTTGTTACTTGGGTTTGTTCCTTGGTTGTAAGGTCAAGGGAATCCCGGATATCCAAATGTGTTCTATAGAAAGAACAGATGAACCCTCGTGAAAAGCAAAAATAGAAAGGAGAAAAAAATGTGAATTTTTTCCCTCTCTGGCTTAATTTCAACAACCAGCCAGTGATCACGGAGGCGAAATTATTAAAGAAAAAAAGTGGGGTGGAAAAAATGGGCAAAATAAATTAAAGGAGGGTGGGATAAACTTGATATGCAGATAGATATGCAGATGCAGACGCAAAGGTAAAAGGAAAGAAAGAAACAAAAAAAAAACACCAAGTGATTCTTCAAAGGAGTGACTGAAGGGTAAGAGGGGAGAATCGGAATGATCTACGGGAAATCAACCGCAGGTTAGCTAGTTAGTAACCAATACCTGTAAGAACGTTGAAGGAAGGGATCTCGCAAGAAGCGGCCGAAACACTTCTGGACTGCTTCTTATATAAATGAGACCGCGCATGTGCCTTAGGCCCTGCCCCACTAAGAATCCGGGGGGAAATGGATCGATAAACACCCCCGTGGGGGGGGGGGGGGGAGAGGTGTAGGTACACATCGAAATTGACTTTGAGGCAGAAGAAAACCAAAGATGGAGTAGCAGAAAACGAAACCTGACTTAAACAGCAAGTACACACAGAGTACATCGAAGAAACTGCGTTAGAGGCACCACAGTCTGCGGTGTAAAACGTAAAAATCATTATTTCTCAGAACCAGGGATCCATGACTCCTGAAGTCCTGGTTTCATCTTAGGACGCGCCTGATCCCGGGAGTATTTTTGAGACGATAGGAGGATAGTCGCTTTTCCAAGAATCTTAGAAGCGGGAAATGAGAGCAGAGCATTTTTTTTTTTTTTTTTTTTCATTGTTTACATGGTTGATCGATTGATGGATGGGTTTATAGAAGGCAGTTGAATTCCACGGATTCTTTTAAAGTGTGTGTGAGATCATTGAAATAGTAGCATCCATAAGAATGCAAATATTATTAGGGTGTCGCACTTCCAACGTTGTACGCAGCATAATGCACGTGTGGTCTGAGAACTAAACTCCCAACGCCTTAAGTCCCACGAGCTGCTTCGCTCGACCTCTATAGTAGGTACTTGTTCCCGCACGCAAAAAACTCAATTTGACCAGCCAGGGCCTTGGAACTCCGATGAAGGGAAGGAGGGCAACATCGGGGGGTAATACAGTAGAGTAGAGTAGGTACTGTAGGTAAATACATAACCGCGGCGCGGCTTCGGCTGACCCCGTCCGCCGGAAGGCTGACAGTCAATTAGATATATCACCACCATCTTGGAAAAGAATGCAGATCGTCACGGGACAGCACAACACTTGCCGGAAATTGGCTGAATTTTTTTTTTTTTTTTTTTTTGTGGTAGCAGCCTCGATAGTAAGCTGGATGAGTTGGGTGTCTGTCGAGTTGAAATCGTAGCAGCAGCCACATACATGATGAAGTCTTGTCGCGCGGTTCCGCCGCTGTTGTTTTGGTTAGTCTCGAAAACAGAGTCTCAAAGCTCTATTCTTGCTGCAAGCGTTGTTGACAGCAGCAACGTTAGAGGTCGACGCAAGAATGGCTGGCCTTTGCGTTTGGTGCCCCCCCTTTTTGCTGCAGAATACTTCAACGAACCTGCAGAATAGTAATGATGAAGATACCTAGAGTAGAAGGGTGAACCTATCGAGTCATTATATTGTAAAGTGTCGTGGTCGAGGCCATCCTGTCAATAGAAGTATAATATCTAGGCAATTCCCAGGAGGAGAGGGGAAGACAGACGACGTGAAAGTGAAAAGTCACCCTCATAGGATAGCCCCACCAATCCTAAGGTTCTTCTTGCCGGTGCTGCAGATTCACCCGTCGCCTCACCGCTTATACCCCACTAACGAATCACAAACCACCCGTTGCTACCACCTCCCCCCTTGTCATCTCGTTCTCTCCCCTCTCTCATCTCCCTCCCACTACTGTCCAGCTTCACGATACTACCTCCTCTTTTATCCACCACTTGGAAATTTAAAACAAAAAACATATTTCTCACCATCAAATCTACACATCCGAAAGTATGAGTTGGCAAGGTGAGATACAGAATTTCCACTTTTTGAACGATGCTCAGGAGAAAAGCTTCTTTTTTTTTTTTTTTGCTAACATTCGACGTGAAACCCCGCAGGATACGTTGATACTAGGTAACACACCCACTACACTACCACCTGAGGGAACCAAAATTACCCTAGAAATACACCAGAAAACACCTGAAGAATACATAAAAAGATGGATAGGACCATATTCACTGACACAAAGACTACCACTTTAGTTTGCTTGCCACTGGAAAGATTGACAAAGCCGCTATCTTCAGTGCTGCCGGTGACTCTGTATGGGCTGCGTCCCCTAACTTTGCGGTTAGTTATTACCTGCCTGCCTATCTTACATACAGATCTGTAGTCCAAGGGTATTTCTGGTTTCAACCCTAGAGATTCCTCGGATAAAAATACAGTCTTCATATCTATATGATAGAAAAACATATGATACGGGAGCTAATACTCATATAGGTCAAGCCTGAAGAAGTCCAGGCCTTAATTAAAGCCTACACGGATTCTGCACCCCTCTATGAAAAGGGCTTGTATATAAGCGGAAACAAGAACGTCTGCATCAAGGCGGACGACAGGAGCATTTACGGAAGGCAGGCATGTTGCAATCAATTTTATTCTTTCCTCGGCCCAAGATTAAGAAAGCTTACTGACCCAAATTCTACCTCTGCTACAGGGCAAGGAAGGAGTCTGTTGCGTCAAGACAAAGCAGGCTATTCTGGTCGCCCATTACCCAGAGACTGTTCAGCCCGGAGAGGCGGCGAAGGTGGTCGAGCAGCTCGCCGATTACCTGATTGGTGTGGGGTACTAGAAAAACGGAGCTGGAGTGTTCAGAGCTTTTTTATCCTCTTTTTTTTGTTGTTGTTTTGTCAGAATGGGTTCATAGAGGGAGCTGGTTTGAAGCGGGAGGAAAATGCCCTGTATTTGATATTAAAAAATCCAAATACCTCTCCCGGGAATTCTCGCAATATAAGCATTAAGTTACCAGCATGTTGGTATATATAGCAGTATATGCTAGTCTATAATATGCCACTGTGAAGCTGTTACCTGTTCCTTGTCCCCCTGTCCTTCAATATGCAAAACCTTGGATCGCTTGGCCTGCGATATTGACAGGTGACAGCGGCCGAAGGGGTGGCGGATATGACCGCTAATTGCATGCGAGATTGGCTTTTTTGACACGGAGATTTTATCTTTCTCGAAACCGGGGCCGGGGGATATTAAACATTAAATTGCCCTTCCCTTTTACTCCCTTCACCTTTCATTAGGTATCATATATAAGAATGACCGTAGCTATCTTATCTAATTCGTCAACATTGCCATTCTCCCAAAAGCCGTTTCGTTCGTCCCTCTCCCTCTCCCCCACCCCCACCCACACACCCGATGCCCTGCCCTGCCCTGCCCATCGGGTCTGTATCAGGTGGGGGAGAGGAAAAAAACCGTGCACGTCTTCCGCGTGCTTTGCTTGCTGGTAATAATACATCAACACCTCCTCCACCACCACCTCCCCCCCCCCCCCCCCGCGGCCGCCGCCGCCAAAGCCCGCAGCCCATCTACACCGGCAGCTGCTGTGTTGCACCTAGATCTCACCGTCAGCCCACGCTCACCACAAGAACACACAAAGCCCAACTCACCCGTAATCCTCCTCAACGGCACCTCCAGATACGGGCCGATCTATCACCACCACCTTATCAGCACTCTCCCATTCCCACTTCCACTCCCCCCTTCCCCACAACCACAAAGAGAGCTACTCACCACGGGCACAGCGCCCACAAAGCCCACCACCACGCCAAAGAAGTCCCCAAACAGACACAATATGCCATACAGCTCAATGACGAAGCCGACGAGCGGGTAGCGCGCTAGGATCAGGCCCACGCCGAGCAGGAAGCATGCGGTGCCCTTGTATTTCTCCTTGCGCGCGAAGAAGGAGAGTGTTTTTTGCGGGCCGAGCGTCAGCGCGATGCCGATCACGAAGAGGATGTTGCCCATGGCGAGCATGGCGCGGTCGAAGAAGAGCATCAGGCCGAGGATGAAGAAGATGACGCCTGTGGGGTGTTAGTGGGTGGAGAGGGTGGAGAGGGGGGAGGGGGGAGGGGGAGGGGGAGGGGCGGGAGAGTACCGCCTGCGCAGAAGCCGACGCCGAATTCTGGAGGTGTTAGCTACATGTAGTGGAGATCGTGAGGTGAGGGTGGGGTGTACTTTGCGTGTCTGATAGCCACATGGTGGTGGTTTGGATGTGCAATTGCGAGAGCTAGAGTGTGCGGGAGAGTGTGCGGGAAGCTAGGCGGAAATCAATCAATGATAGTCTGGCCGTAATTGGGGTTTCAAGTTGAGTTTTGAGTTTTGAGTTTTGATTTTTGTGGAGCCGCAAAGGTAGGTGCCGTAGGGCGAAACAAGGCGAGACAGGACAAAGCGTAGGATCGATGGAAGGGAAGGAAGGATCGAACGGAAGGAAGGTTGTATGTATGTATAAGGTAGGATTTTATTCTCGAGAAAAGGGGTGAACGGCCGCCCGGGATGGTGGAGATCGATGCTGCTGTAGCTAGCGAAGGTAAGGTAAGGTACAGGTACAGGCAAAGTTTTTTTTTTTTTTTAGTTTTTTTTTTTTTTGCTTTCCTTTCTGCACTCCTCGATCTCCCTCGTGGTGAATTCCCCTTTGTTGAAACCGTTCTCCTCGGGGCGGCCACGCGTGCTCGCGGTATATCACAGCACGTCTGGCTGGGTTCAGCGTTGCACCGGAACAAGAGCGAGAGAACTCTAAACAAGTGCAAGAGGCTCGGCGGTGGAAGCGAAACGCCACACCGAACGTTCTAGGGAGTTCACCTTCCAAGTGGAAGAATTAACACCCAGCTTAATTAAGCGAAGGGGCAGATGTGCGGTGTGACAGGCAGGGCAGGGCAGGGCAGGGCAGGGCCCGGGTGGAGTCAGAGACAAGAGATTGGCTTTGATATATCTGACCGAGTGCCTGCCTGTATCGGAACAATACGAGCAGCAGGCAGAGCTTATTTCCTGTGTTTCTCGTTCGTTTTCTTACTTCCTTTGACAGCCGCTGTTAGCATTGTGCGGTGCGGTGCGGTGCGGTGCGGTGCGATGCGCGACATGTGCCAGCGATCATTGACACGACATGACATGCGACGCCTTTCCGTGTTGGGCTGCGTGTGCCGGGTAACGCAAGCTAAAGTCGCGTCGTCCCGTCGTTCGTCTTTTCTTTGGCGGGCGAGTGAGAACAGGTGTCTGTCACAGCCTTTTGAGGTCTTTGTTCAATTGGCGGTTTGACATCGCCACCACTTCTCTGCACCACCACCGCTCTACACCTCTCTCATCTCCAGCCCTCTTCCCCAAAGGCTTCAATTGCAGTCATCTCTGCAGAAAAGAAGGAAGAATGAGTCTCCTCCGAGAAGGCTACACCGATGTCAACCGGGCCTTTCTGCAGGCCTTCATGTCCCACCGAGTCCTCAAACTCAACGACATCAAGCCCATTCTGCTCGCAATCCTAAACGCAGACGGTATAGCACACCCCCCAAGCCCCACCCTCCCTCCCCACAGCCTAACACCCAGTGCGCACCCCTAGGCGGCGAGCACGAAGCCGCCCTCGAAGACATCACCGACGGCATCGTCGCCTCCTACATCACAACGGCCAACACCACCATCCACGACTACGACCTCGAGATCCGCAGCACGCTCGACCAGCACGACCGCACTCGCATCTACGCCCTCGTCAACACGGCCTCCGACGAGCTCACGCAGCTAGCCACCACCCACTCGGCCGACGAGATCGCCTTCTTCAAGCGTGTTCTCGACTACATGTTCGACACCAACAACACCCCCGCCGCCGAGATCATGGCCGTCAGCGACTTTGACGCTCTGCGCCTCGACAAGAACCCGCACGCCGCCGAGGGCACGCAATCGCAGTCGCAGGCCCAGTCGGGCCTCACAAAGATCCAGGCTGAGGAGGCGCTCGCGGCGTTTGTGGAGGAGGGCTGGCTGGAGAGGAGCGATGCGGGGTGGTTCTCGCTCACGAGCAGGGCGCTGATGGAGCTGGCGTCGTATCTGACGCAGACGTATAATGTTGCTGCTGACGAGTCGGATTCGGACGAGGGTGGGGGCACCCGTAGCGGTGCTGTCGTAGAGAGGATTAAGCAGTGCTATGGGTGCAAGGAGATTGTCACCATCGTAAGCATTGCCCCCCAATTCACTGTTTGTATTATCCTCAGTGCTGTGCTGTGCTAACGTACCGCTTTTTTTTTATGTACAGGGCCTCCGCTGTCAGACGCGCGCATGTAATTTCCGCCTGCACAACTCGTGCGCAAACCAGTACTACCGTGCGCAGCGCGGCGAGAAGGAGTGTCCGACCTGCGGGTCACCATGGACCGGGAAGGACCTCGTCGGCGAAGGCGCTGCAGCGCGCAGACGGCAGTCTGGGGCGGGGCCTGCAAATAGGCGGCAGAGCGGTGCGTCGTCGAGGGGGTGGAGGAGCACGCTTACGCAGGTTAGGCCTGCGCCGAGGAGGGTGCAGGAGGAAGAGCAGGAGGAGGATCAGGATATGGATGCGGAGGGTGAGAGTGAATGATGCGGAAGTGGATGAAGTGGATGAAGTGCACGATGGGTATGATGGGTATCATTTTTTTTCTTTCTTTCTTTTTGGTATGGACTGCACTGGGTGGTGTTTGGTGGTGTTTTCTTGGGGTTTAAATGTATCATATCTCTAATAGCATTATGTTCTTGGTAGCGTTTATCATCTAGTTGTTTTCCAGTATGAATTATTTTATATCATAGGTGAACATTGTGCAGCAGTAAGAACATAAATACCATAGTAGCATATCACTTATTACCAAGCAATTGTGGGTTATCAAAGTCGACCGGACGCTTTGATATATGCTTTCCCAGCGGTATGGGTTAATTGAGTGCCACCAGGTGCTCTAAGGAATTGAAATAAGTATCAAGTATTTTTGCAAGTTTTTCTCTCTTTTTATTTTCGTGAATTTAGGAGTACTTCGCCTGGGGCTCCTTCGTCGATTGCGGGCTCGTTACGTCGAAACCCATTACGTCGAAACCCATTACGTCGAAACCCATTACGTCGAAACCCATTACGTCGAAACCCATTACGTCGAAACCCATTTTCAATGGCCGTCCCGCAGAATAATGCAGATATCTTTTTTGCCATTTTTACTCCCAAAGATATAACATACTCACATACTCCAACGTCACAAAAGCCTAATAATAGGGAGATGGCACAAACAGCACCAGTAATAGAATCCTCCCAGGTCTGGAATATAAACAGCATGTCGAACATCCCCCCATACCCTCGTAAGAGACAGCTGTTGGTGATTTATTATTATGACTCCGGTCAGCTAGCTAGGTGTCGCTGAAAAAACAAGAACAGCTTTAGGTATTATTATAAGGGTTCTGTCGAAAGATGCTGCCCAGGTGCCGAGAGAGATACTTTTTCTTTATCTTTCTCATCTAGAAAGGACATCTTTACCATCCCTTCCAGCGCTCAATCTACCCTGAAGTCTCGGTGGAAATGTGCCTGGGTATCAGCAGGACGTTTGCCATATATTTAGGAAGAGGAGGCTCGAATCCCCACAAGAGGGTGGCCAGTGAGTTATGATGTACGACGTGGTATGTAGATTCAAGTTGTCATGGAAGGGTTAGGTTTCCTAGCTCGTCCTACCATCACCTCCCTTAAGTATTACTTCCGGCCCATTGAACGTTGTGTGGGCGTGTGTAGTCTAGTAGTAGACGCCTCGTCAACGGAGGACACCGAGTGGGTGGGAGTCTATACTGGCGTTGTGTGTAATAAATGGCACTCAC